AAAAGATGTATTGAATCCCTAACCCCTGATATCTCAGAATGTGACCAAACTTTGGAAGTAAGGTCTTTACAGAGGTAATCGAGTTAAAATGAGGGTATTAAAAGAGTGGGCTCTAACCTAGTATTACTGAAGTCCTTGTTAAAGGGGGGAATGTGGACACAGATACAAAGGAAGAACGACATGAGGAGACACTGAGAACCATGAGAAGATTGGACTTAGGCTGTCACAGCCAAGGAATGACTGGGGCTACCAGAAGCTGGGAGAGAGGCCTGGAACAGATCTCTCCCCACGGCTCTGCAGACCTTGGATTTGGTCTTCTCTCCTCTAGAACTGCAAGAGAATAAATCTCTCATGTTTTCAGCCACCCAGTTGGTGGCATTTTATTACAGCATCCCCAGGACTCATGCAGACTTGAATTCTAACAGTTCCCATGACTTTTGGGGTTTTTTGGCCATCATTCCCACATGCCATCCCACCTGGATCCCCTAGTACACGTCAGTGATCTGGGGGTGACCATATGTAGTCTCAGCATCTTAAAAATGCATTCTATAGGTTGCCAGATTTAACAAATATACATAGAAGATGCCTAGTTCAAGTTGAATTTCAGATAAACAACAGATAATTTTTAGTGTAAGTATTTAGTATGCTATTTATAAGTGTTTGGTATAAGTATTTACTATAAGTAATGTCCTTCGGACATACTTATACTAAAAACTTTTCTGTTGTTTATCTGAAATTCATGTTGAAACTGGATGTCCCGTATTTTATCTGGCAACCTAAATAATAAGCATCTTTGAAATACTCTAAACTCCCTGGAAAAGACATGTGTTTGGTGCCACGAGGCGGGCTGGGAGAATTTCCATGAGGCTGGGCCAAAAGACAGGGTTCATTGTTTGGCATCAGCTCACTTCTGCTTCCACAGTGAGAAGCAGAAACTTAATTGCTCCAAGGAACAATTAATTGGAGTAGAAAGCTTGATTCTTGCATTTCCTACATAGGTCACAAATTTCTGTTATTGCAATGTGCCTAATTTGTGGTTCAAAATGTAGTATCATCTTAATGCATGCCCACAACTGAACTGTTCTACCTGAAATGAGTGTAATCACCCTAACCCTAAACTATTCATAACAGACAGGCAAGCTTCAGGGGTGCATGACCCAGGCAGCCACACAGGGCCTTGCGCTCAGGACCCCACACTTGATTCAAAAATCTGCAGTCACCGTATTAAAATTCTTAATACATTTGGAGCAAGAGGTTCTGCATTTTTATTTTGCACGGGGCCTCACAAATGGTGTCACCGGTCCAAGGACAGGTGTACCTGATAACACATAAGCTGCTGCACAAAATGCTTCCATCACTGAAAAGTGACAGATGCCTTGGTCTATTCTTTCCTGAACTCGCTTCTAAGCGACTAGAGCCCTTTGGCCTGGCACCTCTCCTCTGCCACGTGCTGCTGTTTCCAGCAGTGCTTTAATTTAATTAGTGTCTGGCTGGTTCAAAAGACTGTTTTTGATTCTGTGTGTGCTGTATGAGCTGTTGTCTGGATCCTCTTCCAACTTGGCCTTGGCAACACCCAGTGTCGAATCTGCTGTCTTTGGCTCTGTAAGACTGTGGTTTTTAAAGGACAATTGTTGCTCATAGCAACTTGAAGGCTGGATGGAGACTTGCCTGAAGCCCCATGAACCAGCAGATTTGGGGCTATTTAATTTCCCACCAGTAGCTGATTCCAAAGGTGTGCTTGTGTGGAACCAAATCTCTCTGCCATCAGCCACATTTATTTTCTAATCTCCACTTTTTTCCTCCCTTCTCATGTACAGGGTTCAGCTTTCTTTCCCCTCCTCTAAGGTTTTCCTTCCAAATTCCCCTTATCCCTTTCCTTGTCCTCTCCCTGTTTGGAACCCATCCACTATTCCACATGCCTCTAGCTGACCCACTTTTCGACCAGGTCTTTCTCCAGGGGCGAAGAACCAAAAGATGAGATTCAAATTCATCTTGCTGCTCATTAATGTCCCTTTTAAAGGTCTTGACAAGGGTGATGAAGCCAATGCCTAGGGGAGGAAATTTCAAAACTTGGCTTTCCAGTTCCATCCCAGTTCTTCACCTATGTCTTCAGTGATGTCACCATGCGAGGAGCATCAGGAAAGGAGCATTGAATTCTGGCTCAAAGTCACTTCTCTGTGACTTTGGCTAAGACACTGAAACTCTCAAGATCTTGGTTTCCTCATCTACAAAATAAGAGTGCTCAACTCCATAATGATCTCATAGAAACCTATAATTTGCATGCCAAAGTTATAACCATTAATTATCCTACACAGCACAGCAGGAATTTTCTAAATCTGAGGCTCGTGATCCACTGTATTAGTCAGCAGTTGCTGTGATAATGCTATGTAACAATCCCAACTCTTCTGGCTTAGAACAACAAACGTGTATTTCTTGCTCAACTCCATTTTTGCAGATTGGCTGGCACAGCTCTGCTCTGGGCTGCAGATTGGGTTCAGGTGGGCTCCACCTGTCTCTCATTCTGGGACCAGGCTCACCTACCAGCATCCGTTTGGGGCATGTTTTTCTCATGGGAAATGGCAGGGGTCCAAGAAGCTAGACCAAGCTACACAAGCATATGCATGGGCTCCACCTGCCTACATCACCTAAGCTCACTTGCCAATAGCCAAAGCAAGTCATGTGGCCAAGTCTAATATCTATGGGGTTGGAAAAAATACCCCAGGAAAGCCATGGCAAGGGCTGGAAGGAAAGGAAGAATTACGGAAAAAAGCAACTACTAGGCTCTCTGAGTCCTCTACATTGCAGGCAAATTTATATTGTTGGTTGTTATGAATTCAACTGTGTCCCCCAAAAAGAGATATGTTAGAGTTCTAACATGGCCCAGTATCTCGGAATGTGACCTTATTTGGAGAGACGATCATCGAGGTAAAGTCAGGTCATTAGGGTGGGCCCTAATCCTATATAACCGGTGTCCTCACAAGCAGGGAAAACATGGGCACAGAGATATGCATAGAGAGAAGACAATGAGAAGACCATCGGCAAGCCAAGGAGAGTCCTGAGGCAGGGCCTTCCTTCGCAGCCCTCAGAAGGAACCAACTTCACCAACAGCTTGATCTCTGACTTTTGGCCTCAGAACTGAGTGGAGAGATTTCTGTTGTTTAAGCCGCCCAGTTTGTGGTACTTTGTTTTGTCAGCCCTGGGAAACTAACACACTATCATGTGTACATTTGTCTGGGGAGAGGGCCCCTGATGTTTATTAGATTCTGAAGGAGGATCCATGATCCATCAGTGCAGCTCACCATTCCCATGAGTCATGGTTACTTTGGCTTCAGTGAAAAGGCCAGGGGGACCACACTGGCTCCCAGAATAGCCACAGTGGGTGGCAGGTCTGATGTGCCAGAGATCTGATTTGGTCCAAACCCATCCAAGGATGTCTCTATAGCCCCAGCATGCTCCAAAAACACACATGACCCTTGAAGACAGGGAGTCCTGACCTTGTTCTTGGTTCTCTCGTTGCTGAGTCTCGTTGGATCTGTTTGTCTCCTTGGGATTTTGATTTGTCTTTGATCAAGAAGGGTTAGGCTTGTGCAAACTGCAGTACATCTAGAATCTCAATTGTCGACGTTTGCCAGACAACGGCTTTGCCCAGGGCCTAGGGCACTGGCCACAAATCTGTTCAATTAATACCACTTGACCAAATAACCAAGATGCTAAATTGGCCAAACTAACAGACTGCAGTGTTTTATAGGATCGCTTAAGAACTTTAACAGAAATATTTTAACAACATTAACAAGAATTTGGTTTCGGTTAATAAATATATCGAAAAACACATTTTATCATCAGTAACCAAAATTGTAGTATCTAGCATTGAAGTTGTTTATATTATGCTAACATCTAAGAGACAAAAAAAAAAAAATAAGCTAATTGACTGGCCTGGTGAATAGATTTTAACCCAAGACCACCATGTAGAGTTGCACAGGCTATGCACTATACCACCTCAAGAACTCCATGTGTATAGCCATGATGTGAGCATGCCTCCAAAACTGCACAGCACAGCAACCATGGCTTCAACAAATTCACTCCTCCCCAACCTAAGACCCCTGTCATCATATTAATTGCCCATTTCTCTCTGACCATGGACTTTTTCTCTGACCATTCCCCAAAGCCATCACCATCCTGTCCTTTTCAGAACCCTATAACGAGACCCTGTTTGTTAATGCATTTCCATTCCATTCTCTGACTGTCCTGCCTGCTAACCCCCAACCCCTCTCTGCCAAGAAAAGAACGCACATCCTAACACTGACATGTTGTGCAAACAAGTCTTTTACCTAAGAACTACTGCAGGTGCAGGAATCCAGCACTGTGAAGGCTGGAATGGGGAAGTTTATCAGCAGCAGATGGGGCATACCTGATGGAGAAATTCCTAAGAGGGATAATAAGACTCTGCCTGCCTCCTTCATGGAAATATACTCTGAGGTGGAAATGTATACAGTGTTCCCATAAGGGGCTTAGAACCATCATAAATGCATCATGCACAGATACGGCATAAACGTGGGGATGGAGGGTCACAAGTGGCTGGTGCGTTAAGGACTCCCAGGCTGTAGGTGACCCCCTGGGATGTCATCATACCACTTAGCATCCCCATTATTCTTTTTAATTAAAATGAAATTAACATAATATAAAATTAATCATTTTAAAAGGAACAATTCAGTGGCATTCAGTACGTTCACAATGTTGAGCAACCACCACCCCAATCTAGTTCCAGAACATTCCACCACCCCAAAAGAAAGTCCCATACCCATTAAGCAGCGACTCCCCATTCTCCCTCCCCCATCTCTCACCCTGACCCTTGGCAACCACTAATCTGCTTTCTGTCTCTTTGAATGCCCCTATTCTGGGCATTTGATATAAATGGAATCATACGACATGTGACCCTTTGTATCTGCCTTCGACTTAACATAATGTTTTCGAGGTTCATCCAGGTTGTAACATGTGTCAGTCTTCCACTCTTTTTTATGACTGAATAATGGTCCAATATGTGGAGAGACCACATTTTGTTTATCCATGCCTCCAATAATGGACATCTGAGTTGCTTCCACTTTTTAGCTATCATGAATAATGCTGCTACAAACATTTGTGTAGAACTATTTATTGAGCGCTGTTTTAGGCTCTCTTGGGTATATACCCAGGAATGGAATTGCTGTGCATCTTCATCATGATATCCTCTCGTTTTTCCAGCCTTTATTCTGAATCTTTTTAGAGGCCAAGGAAAGCCAACTTTTCCTGTAAATAAGCAGATAGTAAATATTTTAGGCTTTGCAAGCCAGATGGTCTCTGATGCAACTACTCAACTCTGCCTTTGTAGCATGAAGCAACCACAGACAATCCGTAAAAAGTTTATGGCTCTTCAATAAAAGTTTATTGACAAAAACAGACAAAGGGCCAGATTTGGGCCTCAGGCTGTGGTTTGCCAACCCCAGCTCTAGGACAAGCCCAAGTGGATGCAGCCTCTTCCAAGCGCCCCATTTCACAGGAGAGGCACCTCCTCCAATCCAGCTTTCTATTGCCAGTGAGGATGAGCAAAGGAGATGGACCTAGCCTGTGGCAGAAGAGAGTTGAGGAACTTCCTTTGAAGCTGATTATGAAATATGTGAAATCTTGGGATGTGCTTCTGCTATGAACAGTGGCACTGTGCTCTCTGTTGTGTAAGAGTCAGGCTACCATCTTTCAGGTGGTTTTTGAGAATAAAAGTTTGTTGAGTACTTTGACCAATCTCTTGGTGTCCTTTCTAACATTCACCCTTTCTGAGATTTATCAGGGGAAAAAGGGCCGCTCATGCTCAAAAGCTCATTCACCCAAGAAGCATTTACTGAGCCTTTACTGTGTGCAGGCGCTATGCTAAATCTTAAGTATTTAAAATGATGCATTCCTGGAGGCTTTCTTTGGCAAGTTGGCTTGGATACCTCTAGTAATGGGGTGCTCACTACCTACACAGGGCATCCTACCCCATGGCTGGGCAGTTCTTTGCTCCTCAGAAGTACCTAAACCTCACCAGTATGCTTACACACCTCCCTCCCAGCAGTCAAATATCAACAGGCACCCCCACCATAAACAGGTACACAGAGAACAGGTGAGGAAATGAGGAAATAGCAAGCAAACCAACAAAGAGACACTGACTGCAGCTCTTCTCACTCCTGGTATTTCTAAAAAGCAGAACGAAATCAATTTCACACCCAAGACATCTTGAAATGTTCCCAAACTTGGGCAAAGTTGACAACTGAATTCTAAGGAACTGCTTCCCATTAAGAAGAAGATATTAGGAAAGAAAATTATCAGAACTCTTTGTTTAAACCATGGTCTCAGTCAGGCATGGTGACTCCGGCCTATAATCCCAGAACTTTGTGGGGCTGAAACGGGCAGATTGCTTGAGCCCAGGAGTTAAAAACCAGCCTCAGCAATGCACCGAGATCCGATCTCTACAAAAACTTTAAAACTTAGCTGGGCACGGTGGGGTGAACCTGTGGTACCAGCAGCTACTCAGAAGGCTAAGGAGGGAGGATCGCTTGAGCCCAGGGGGTCAAGCCTGCAGTGAGCCATGACTGCACCACTGCACTCCAGCCTGGGCAACAGAACAGAGTGACACCCTGTCTCAAAAAACAAAAACAAACAAACAAATAACCTCGTCTCCAGAAAAGGCAAATGAGAGGCTGGACAGCACAGAGATGAAAAACGCAGGCCTTGGGGCCTGGCAGGTCTGAGTTTGAAGGCTGCTCTTTTTCCCTTTAGCTGGGGGACCTGGGGCACGTCATTTCTTAGAGGAGGCAGAGTTTCCTCAACTGTAAAACCAGGTTAGAATAGTACCAATTGCATAGGATGGCTGTGGGATGGAATGAGACACGCCATCTGTAGTGGCCACACGGAGCCATGAGCTATTACTAAGTCAGCAGGCCTTCCCACCTGGCCAATCTCTTGTGGCTAAACAGAAGAAGGTGCAGAAACACCGCAGAGATGACTCATAAGTGCCACAGAGGGGCTACGGATTCAATTAAAAGAAAAAAATAAAGTCTGGAGGAAATGGAGGCAGGCAGAGGTCAGGGACAGGAGAAAAGGGGAAGAAGCACAACTGAGGTATCCAAATGCAGAAGCCACTAGAAGCGGCGCCCCAACCCCACCCCTGCAAGAGCCTCCAAGAAATACTTGGCTGCATCACAGGCTTCACCTCTTCCTGCCCACACGCCTGCAAGATCCTGTTCTCAAGCTGCAGTCTGTGCAGAGTCGCAACCCATGAAACAGTTACGAAATCCATTCCAATGTCTGCAGCCAGCAATGGAGAAACGTGAAACTAGAATAGGTCAGAGTGCTTAGCACATCTAGGGGAAGTACTGTATTGTGTTAAACCTTTTCAGTAATATGCACATATGTAGACCTGCTCATATCATCTCCATAAGGATATAGGCACACTTACACAGACTAGAATCAACACTGTCAGCGTGCAGTGTGCATAATGTATGGTAAGAGTAAGTACTGGTCGGGCGCGGTGGCTCGTGCCTGTAATCCCAGGATTTTGAGGCCAAGGTGGGAGGATTTGATGAGAACAGGAGTACAAGACCAGCCTGGCCAATATAGTGAGACTCTGTCTCAAAAAAAAAAAAAAAAAAAGGTGAAAAAAAAGAACATTATTCAGATAAACCTTTCCTATTATAATATATATGTATTCGCAATGTATATATCCATGTATTCACACATATATACATATTTTGTTACATTGTTTTTGGTTTTACACATATGTATATGCACACACACAATAGAACATGGGCTTCTTGCTGTGAGTTACGGTCAGGGAGATTGAAGCCACTGTCTAAAGCACCCTTCAGGAGTGGCTCCCAGGGCTCCGCGAGCCCCTGAGAGGGAAAACTGCTTGGAGCCCCTGGCAGTTCTATCCTGTGGCCCCACTGTGCTGCCAGGGAGCGCGGGCAGGGCAGGGGGAGCAACGGGATGTTCATTTATTTCCTGAAGAGGCCAGGGCATAACATTAATTCTAAATGTAACAATTAAATTCCAATTAAAACTCAATTTTAAATGTGAAAGTCTCTAATAGGTACCAACCGATGTCTCTCTGCATCCATAAGGACTTCCGGGTCCCCTACGTCAAAGTTATAAGCGAAGCTCGCACCAGAGAAAGTTCCGATTTTTCATGAACCTGAGTCGGATTCTCATGAACCAAAGATTAGAGTATTGATTCTTCCAGCATCCAGCACATCTGATAGCACCCGGGGGGTTATAAACAGCAACAAATCCTGTGAAATATCAGCCCAGAGAACACAATCTTTATTTTACAACACTTACAAAGAGATCCCCTAAGGTTTATTTTTAAAATAAATAACATTATAAAAAGCAATTTTAGTCACCAGCCTGTTGTTACAGCAAAATATCTGAGCCCCAGACTCCTAGGCAGATGCCATCGCCAGCCTGTGTGTGATTAGGAAAACGGGGTCTGGTGAGGGTGGTGCCCCACTCAGTTGAGAGGTTCCCCTCTCAATCCCTGTCCATTTATCCTGCTGGGAGCTCTGTGGTTTGGGTCTCTACGTCTTCCTTTTTTTGAGGTGTTAGATTTTTTCCCCAAGTCAAAAAGGGTGGCATCCTTCTAAGTTACCAGCTAAGAACATCAAAACCCCCAGGGCTCCATGTCCCGCTGAAGGTCAGGGCAAGGCCTCCGCCCCTCAGCACCAGCCCCTCACTCTCCTTCCCCCTCCATAAAGAGGACCAGGTGTGGTGGCTCACGTCTGGAATCCCAGCACTTTGGGAGGCCAAGGTGAGCAGATCATGACGTCAAGAGATCGAGACCATCCTGGCCAACATGCTGAAACCCCATCTCTACTAAAAATACAAAAATTAGCTGGGCATGGTGGCGCATGCCTGTAGTCCCAGCTACTTGGGAGGCCGAGGCAGGAGAATCGATCGAACCTGGGAGGCGGAGGTTGCAGTGAGCCGAGATGGCGCCACTGCACTCCAGCCTGGTAACAGAGCAAGACCCCATCTCAGAAAAAAAAAAAAAAAAAGGAGGAGGAGGAGGAGGACTATGAGGACAAGGAGGAGGAGGAGAAAAAGGAGGAGGAGAAGGAGAATAAGAAGGAGGAGGAGAAGAAGGAGAAGAAGGAGGCAGAGAAGGAGGAGGAGGAGAAGAAGGAGAAAGCGAAGGAGAAGGAGAAGGAGAAAGTGAAGGAGAAGGAGAAGAAGAAGAGGACAGGTGCCAGGCAGACATTCCTAGTAGGAAAGCTCTCATTCAAGGGGTCTAATCACAGACCCCAAAAGTGTCCTGTCTGTGGACAGAATTCCAGCAGTCTGGAACTTGCATAGAGAAAAAATGACTTTTTTTTTTCACTAATCTGTAGCTGAACATTACTATTTCCTTCCATCATGAACATACACAACAAGTCACAGAAGAGCAGTACCTGGCACTTGGTCACCATTTAGAAATCACAGCTACTTTCATATGACACTACGTCTGTTCCATGAGTCTCAGAATAGCGTTCGTGCCCATCACTACATGGAAATGAGAGTAGTTATCGAACTGTTGATAGATCTATGAAAACATTAATTTTTTAAAGAGCACAAATTAAAACAAGTATTTGGGTAAATATATATCAGTGTAATTGATTTTCTTTGTAACCCAGAGTGTTTTATTTTATACATTCAAAAGCATTCTCCTATTAAGGGGCCCATAGAGGTCATGGCACCCAAAGAGGAAGGAACCCCCTGCCCTCACCAAAAACTCAGCTCACGGGGCCGACACACACAGGAGACCCCTAACCAAGGCTGTGGGCCACATGGGTGCAGACTCTGAGAGAGGCTGCGGGGAGATGGTTACTCCTCAGTCATCCAGCAGCATCTTCGCCATATTCACACTTTATAATAACTAAACTGACTCAAAGCGTTTTGTGGAGCAGAAATGGCTGACGGTAATCTCTTTTTTCTCACATAACAGTTTACGGACAGTATGCAAGCCATTGCACTAGAACCCCACAACTGCTAGGCTGGCAAGCTGGGTATGTTGTCATTTCTTAAATAAAGAAGCTGAGACGCAAAGGAATGTAATGCTTTGTTCAGAGTCATTAAATCCATCTGCTGGTGGCAGAGCAAAGCCCAGAAGCTGTCTTCTGACGCCAAGTCCCGGCACCTGGCTGGGCTGCCGCTCCAGGTGCGGGCATACCTCGCACCTGCGGGCATATACCGCGCATGCGCCCTGTGCTGGCCCCGCCCCTCTGGCCCCGCCTTCCACACCCGTGCCCAACCCCTTGGTATGAACTTAGGTGCATGGGACACCCTGTGACAATGATCATTAGGACAAGTATGCACTTGTTTATTGTCCTGGGAGTCCCTTGGCTTCTCACAAGCTTGAAGCGCTGCACCCCCCGCATTGTCCCAGTGCCATGACAAGCCATGCAAAGGTAAACAATAGCAATAACTAATGGTCACTAGGCAGGACGGTCCACTTTCCCCAGAATATCTGCAAAAATGCATGCCAAAGGTAGTACGCCATTTCTATTTCCCGACCCGCTGCTGCACTTACAGTCCTCCTGCTTCTTCTCCAGCTGGGTCTCCCAATAAAATCCAAGGCCTGGAGAGGGAGGGTTCTGGCTCCTGGCCCCTGTCACTGGGCTGGCCCGGATGGTGGCCTGGCGATGCCGGGGGAGCCAGCTTCATGCACACCAGTCCTCTCATCTCCCCGTGCAGGGAGTAGGAAGGACACTTTTCCTCCCATTTTACAGATTCAAAAACAGCCCACCAGTGTGTGTGCAAGCCAGGTTGGCACCTGAGTCCCCACCCTCCCCTCTTGGTTCAATGTAGGACAGCAAGGGCTCATGGGCTCCATGCCTGCTGCATGAGACTGAATTATCCTTCCTCTCTGTTTTACAGTCAAGATCCCCCCGCAAAAGGACTTTCTGGCAAAAACAGCTCTTTGTCCTCTTCCCCTGTCTTCTGACCTCTTAAACTTCCCTCCAGCTTCTGGAACTTCTTTGAAGGGAATCTCCCTCAACTACTCGTCACAGAATTACATGGAGTGGAGCTGGAACATTTTTGCTTAGGATGCAAGATCCTGTTTAAACTGCACTCTGTTTCGAAGCGCTGGTGTTTAGCCTCTCTCTGTCTCCTGGGCTTGTGGGGGTAGGCAGGGGTGGGAGTAGCGTGACTCACTGCAGTAGGTTGCCTATAAACCTTGTTGGTGCAAGATGAGTGAGTATTCAGGTGCACGTATTTGAATGACCACCTGCATATCATCAGCCCTTGGATAGCATCTCTACTTTCTTGGGAGATTGGAGGTAAGGATACAAAACGCTGCAGAGACTCACCGAGTCTCCAAGCAAGAAAAGAGTCAACAGCAGCTGAAAGTTGCGGGGCAGGGGATGGTGAAGTTCAGGACCTAGCCCTGTTGAGCTTGAGCAAGGTCAAAATTTTCCTGACATCTTCTGGGTATTTCCACAGTTGAGAATGCTAAATGGTGTGGGCAGGTTGCTGGGTGCCAAGTACAACATGATGGACAGCTGGGCACTTACTGGACCCACGCTAGTCACTGTGTTGCTGTGTGGCCAGTCCTGGCAGTGGGAGGTGGGAGATAACCAGGGCTTCACAAAGAGAGAACAGATATTTCCTCCACAGTGAAGGAGGAGCTGCCACTCCCACCTTCTCTCCACCTTCTAGCCAGTGTCTCTAACACGCTCAGCACAAGTGTCAACACCTGGGGTGCTTGCTAAAGATACAGGTTCCAGACCCTGTCCCACAGCTACAGAAGCCAGCTTCCCACTCTGGGGAGCTGCAGTTCAACAAGCACCCCCCTATGCCCATGGTTCCCGAATACTGATGGGCATCAGAATCTCCAGACACTTGTCAAAAATCCACGCCTTTCCATTTACCCCAGTCTATGAATCAGCATCTCCAGAAACCAGGCCAGATGATTCTCAGGCATCTAAAGTTTGAGATCCTACTTTGGATGAGTGATTTTCAAAGTGTAGTCCCCAGACAAGCAGCACCTGTGTCACCTGGGCGCTTGTTAGACATGCACATTCTGGGGCCCCACCCCAGACCTCCGGAGTCAGAAACTCGGGACGGGGCCCCGCCCTCCAGGTGAGAGCCACTGGAGTAGACTATGAGCGTCCCAAGGCCAGGGACTTGTCCTGGTCACAGCTTAGAGTGTGGGACTTGGTGCTGAGTCAGCACTGGGGCTCTCCCTGGCTTCTAAGAGAAGTGAATGAGTTTTGCTCACCACTGACTGCCCAGGAGACCCCACCTGGGCCAGAAGGAGCTGCCTGCTGTCTCCCTCTCCCAGGTGCCAGAACACAGCTCCTTGGGTGCCTGTATTTGCAGGGAAGGCTGCTGTATGGGGAGAGAGCAGGCCTTGCCCTCAGTCTGGCTAACTCCTTACAGCTCCAATTTAATCTATCTTTCTCTGCAGCTGCAAAAGAATTGCCCCGTGCCTTATGCATTTCGCCTCAGAGTCCCACGAGTGCAATGTCCAATGTGGGGTGTACTTTCTCTACTTGCTTACAGCACAGAACAAATATGCCTCTGCTCCTATATGAACATGAACTGCTCATTCTAGTGATGGCTCTGAACAAAGCCGGGGGTCCCCTTTAAGTTGGCTTGAACGTTTGCATTTCTGTTCCAGTCCTTCTCATTTACAGAGAACACATGGAGCCCTCCAAGCCCCTGCCACCCCTTTCCAGTCCTATTCCGCTCTTCCCTCACCCTTCCCAGACCAGCTCAAGCACCCCTCATCCGGGAAACTTCTCTAGCCCTCTCCAGCCCTGGCTGATCCACCTGCTCTCCAGAGGTGAAGAAGCCGTTGCCTTCCATGAGTATTTGGCACTTTGGGGCTCTCTTGAACCTTTGTCTTATTTCCCCACTAAAAATGACAGTCTGATCAGGGCAGGGTCAATATTTATTGTTTTATTTTCATTCCATCAAATTACTCAGCACCCCAGAGAGTTTTGATCATGAAGGTGCTCAGTAAGTGTTGGACGGCAGCATAGAGGTCAAGCACAAAAGCAAGAAACCACATGGCCACTGCTGCAGATGAGTGTCTCTGGATGTGCCCACACCCTTAGAATGGTTCCAGATCAACTGGGCATCTGTCCAGCAGCCTAGGAGTGGGCTTTGGATCCTTTACAAAAACAAGAAGGCAGTAGCACCCCTTGAAAACTATGCTGCCTTACAGTTAACCTGCCTCTAAAGTACAGGCCCTTCCAATCTGCTGTCTAGCAGGGAGAAGGGGGCCAGGCGTAGTGGCTCACACCTGTAATCCCAACACTTTGGGAGGGCAAGGCGGGTGGATCACTTGAGGTCAGGAATTCGAGACCAGCCTGGCCAACATGGTGAAACCCCATCTGTACTAAAAATACAAAAATTAGCCGGGCGTGGTGATGCACACATGTAATTCCCAGCTACTCAGGAGGCTTAGACAGGAGAATCACTTGAACCAGGGAGACAGGGGTTGCAGTGAGCCGAGATCACGCCACTGCACTCCAGCCTGGACAACAGAGCGAGACTCCGTCTCAGAAAAAAAGAAAAAGAAAAAAAAAGCAGGGAGAAGGACCTTGGAATAGGCTTCATCAGACCTGTGTTCAAATTAATCACTACGTATTATTAATATCAGAATAAAAGTTAGCCTTCAGCTGACCTCCGCCACTGCTCTCCGCTGGCCCACTCCGGAGGGATCGGCTCTGCACCCTGGATTTCTGCCCTTCCTGCACCCTCCCAGGAAGACGCTGCCTCTGCCCTGTGTTGGGGGGCATTTGAGTTTGGAGATGAAGGAGAACTGGGAAGAGAAGACAGGAAGAGCTTCAGTCATGGCCGGAGAGACGCACTGGAAAGGAGGGCAGAAGAATGCAGTCAGAGAGTGTGGGAAAATTGGAATGCCGGAAGAAGGAGAAATGAAATGAGAAGAGGTGCTGGGGATAAGTTGGATCCCCTTTAATGTACTTCCAGAAGTGCAAATAAATGATGGGATTTCCTTTACATTGATCTTCGATGATCAAACTGTGCTTCTTAAACTAAACATGATTCTCAGAGACAGTCACGGCTGCAATGCGGTTACAATGATGATGCGGAGCCTTTCTTGGCCCTGGAGCTAACTACATCCCACGCAATTGGCCCCGAGACAGGTACTGCTGTCATAATGACCTTGCAGGTGGGGACAGTCAGGCAGACAAGAGGTTGCCCCAGGCCCCACAGCTGGCCAAGGGAAAGCCCAAATTGGAGTTCATGCTGCTGCCAGGTCGGTGCTCTCAGACACTCCTGCAGGGCCAGGCCCTCCCCATGCAGGGCTCCAGCCAGGCTCTCACCCCTTTCCTTAAAAGTGAACCAGATCCAGGACCAACAGCTGGAGACAGCACTCTGGGAAGCTGATCCCCAAGTTGACATCTGAGGCTCAAATTCTCTCTGATTCAACCCCACCAGGAGCCAGCTGGGGTCTGAGCCGGGGCAGCAGGGACAGAGCTGCCGCCGGGGGTCTGCTGCCAGCGGGCATCGCCGTGGAGGGCGCAGCCTGCGGGCGGAATGGAAACCAGACAGGGGCTCTCCAGGCCCACCGGGCCGGCCATCCGGAGGGTCTGCAGCTAATTAAGACTGAAGGGAGCACTGAATAACCCTTTTGTGGATCAAAAGCACTCTGTTGGAAACCCAGCTGACAACTCCAACAAAACTGACTTCATGGTTTCTTATGAGAAAACTGTGAATACATCGAGGACTGAAGAAGCGCTTTGTTCCAGACCTTCGTGGGAGCACCAGAGATTCGGATTACAAAGCGGCCCTGCCCGGCTGCAACAAACAGCGCCTGGCTGAAGTCAAGGCTGTCTCGGTGTAGGAAAGCCAGAAATAACACATTACACTGAAGCCGGGGCACGGTGTGGCCACGACTGCTCGCTCGTGTGCTTCATTTACAGAAAAGGACACACATATCCCACCCCAATCCGATCAGAACCAGACAAGACTGGAAGGCTGGGTACAAAGCACACTGAGCCCCTCAGAGGGTCTCCACTGAGCCTGTATCAGGATGGGTATATCCCTTCGCCTCTGCACTCCAGGCTGCACTCGGGAATCACCCAGAGCTTCAAACACGCTCCATGCCAGGATCCCAGCCCCAGGGATGTAATGTAATTGACCTGGGTGCAGCCTGACGTCAGCATTTGTAGGAGCTGCCTGGGTGTCGTGGGTTGGATGGTGTCCCCCACCAGAAGATATGTCCACCCAGAACCTCCAAATGTGACTTGACTGGAATAAGGGTCTTTGTAGATGTCAGTAACCCTTTTCCCACTTGCCCAAAAATACTCCCCGGCAGCATTTACTGGAAGATAATTTGGCTACAAAATGCCTTGGTTTTATTATTATTTTCAAATCGCTCTAGTATATTGACTTTGGAAACAAAACACATCATTCCATTTATAGCATTCTGGTTTTAGTAGTGGTATTTCCATTTACAAACTATAGTAACTCTCGAGTGCTGAAAATGTCACACCCTAGAAAATGCAGCATTCCTACACGTGATGTTAACATCGTTCTTGAGCCATTATTGGCCAGAGATTCATTTGATGAATCCGATTCTTCCGAAACAGATGATTCTGATGATTTAGACGATTCTGATGTTAGTTCTGTGTAGAAATAACTCCAAGAACAGTTTCTGTCTTTTATTTTCACATTAAAAATCCATCAGACTTGCTTCAGCCTCAAAGAGCATGTTTATGTAAAAAATGAGTACTGGCAGCAAGCTGCACTTTATTTTCTAAACAAGAAAAGGGTGAAGGTAAAGATCTCTAGACGAGATCATCCTGGACGAGGGCAGGTCCTAAATCCAATGACTTGTGTCCTCATAGGAGACAGAAAAGGAGACCCTGCAAACAAGGCCGTGTGAAGACAGAGGCAGAGACTGGAGTGATGCTGGTTCCATACAAGGAAGGCCAAGGATGGGGGTCACCAGGAACAGGAGGGAGGCCTGGAACACATGCTCCTGTGCAGCTGCCAGCAGGAGCCACCCTGCCCACACCTTGACTTTGGCCTTCAGAACTGTGAGGGAGCAAATTTCTGTGTTCTAAGCCAGCGGTCCTCAACTTTTTTGGCACCAGGAACCAGTTTTGCGGGAGACAATTTTTCCACACACAGAGGGGATGGTTTTAGGATGACTCAAGGGCATGACGTGTATCATGCACTTTATTTCTATTATTATTACACTGTAATATGTAATGAAATCATTACACAACTCACCAGAATGAAGAATCAGTGGGAGATCTGAGCCTGTTTTCCAGGAACTAGAC